GATTATGATGCAGCATATATAGATTTTAATTCCAAATACTGTACTATTAACTATAATACTAAGTCATTTACCTGGTCAAGTGTAGCTACATTATTGTCCCTATCAGTTTAATTTTTAACAATCCCCAGCCTGTGTCTCCATAATCAACAATTCCCTGCTTCCTTGCACTCCTGCTCCAGATGGAGAGCAGGGAAGCAGATGTTTGGTCCAATATCTTATTGGTGATGGATCTTTCCTTGATGCAACTCCTGACCATTGTTACAGCTCTTATTCAATCCTTCAGCAAGTGTTAGCCAGTAAATTCTGGGAATTAAAGCATCATTGCCACTCTTCACATTCCTGATGTGAATGAAATAATATTTTCATTGGTGAGGGGGTTTTTCTTGTTTGATTTGTGCTTTTTGGGGAGGTTGATTTATAACCTCTAGAAAAGCAAATACAGAAACATGCTGACTGTATTTAGGCAATGGAACCAGGCTCATCAACAGGGAGGACATGTTGACATTAAAATTAACACAGAAGACTCTCCTGAAATTTGGAGTTCTATCTCTTGGATAAGGGTTTAGTTGCCAGAACTTGGAAGGGACAGGCACTAAGTCAGAGTAAGATGGATCCACTCAGGTTTAGAGACTGGCACCACTGGAAGGGTTTCTCCCAGACCAGCTCTGGGCAGGGCTGCTCCAGGAATCCAACCCAAACTCTCTTCCCACCTCCTGCCCACCTTGTGACACTGCAGGTATTTAAGCAAGTCAGGGAATTATACAAGTCACAACTCCATGACAATACTGTCATTAAAAAAAGTCAAAATAAGATTACAGAGACAACTTTAAATGTGTATTACAGGTGTAAAGTTTTACTGCAGAACCCGAAGAAGAACCTACTCCAGTTACCAACAAAATCTCCTTTAATTTCGTGCCTCTCCACATCCCCCTCTGTTTGAAGCCCCTGAAGCCCATCACTACCCCAACACAGAGGAGGATTCAGGGACTCCCATCCTGCCACAGCAGATTTCTGAGCACTTCTCTCTCTTTTTCAGGTTTATTTGCACTAAACGGGTTGGTCAGACCTCTATGGTTTGAGGGAAGGAGTTTGACAGGACCTCACCTCAGAGAGGAGCTGAGATTGTGGCTCAGAGTAGATATTAAGCCCTTATTATTTAGATATTCAAATACAAATATAGGTGCAAAGGCTTAAAATAATTTACAATTTTCACTAGCTTTAATATTTGCACATTTGAATTTAATGTGCCTTCACTCTGAGCATTAGTCACCCTCCCCAACATATTAAAAATCAGGATAAAAAATGGATTTGCAGGTTATTCAAAGGTAATTATCATCTTGCACAGCAACATTTGATTTTTCTCAGGGAAGGTGGGAAGTTAAAGAACTACAGAGTCGATTTGAGTGCACATAAATCAGCAGAAAAACTCCCCAGCCAAGACTTCTCAGCTTTTGCAGACCCAGTTTTCCTCAGAAAACCATTGTTTTCAAAAGTAAAATTGGTACAAAACAGAAGATGGGGGATGAATATCTGGTAAAAGTGCCCAATATATGAAATTTGAAATGCTCCATGGAATTCAAGGTACAAGTGGAATAGGACTGCAGGAAACTGCTGAGGAATAAATGGAGCAGGGTGTCCTAAGGCAGGTTGGCAGGAATTACACATCCTTTCCCATTTCATTAATTCAGGAATTAATGCTCAGTATTAGAACAGAAATTACTTACAATTTCTTACATTGTGATAATGACATGTAACATGGAAAATGCAAAATGTATGAGGAGGAAGAGCTAAGAAGGTCTCCTAGAAGTACCATAACTGAGTTTTATAAGACTCTACTGAACAGCACAGGGTGGTACCTACTGGCATTTGGGGTTCCCAGAGGTCTGGGGAAAACTGTGCCTTGACTAGAGAAATAAAATAATGATCCAGAGTCACTGGGGACTTGCAGAAATATGAACACACAGGGGAAAATAAATACATTGAGAACAAATGGTATCAGTCAGTGTTATAAAAGCTGCAGCAACTTCATGAAAATGATGGAAAACATGGATCATAAAGACTGGCAGTGCCACCAGGAGATGGCCTTGTGCTGGCACCAGTGCCAGTGCAGAGATGGAGCTGCAGAGGGAATAGGAAACTCTGCAAGCACTTCCCAAACATGACCCTACACAGAATCATTGAGGTTGGAAAAGCCCTCCCAGCCCATGGATCCCCCCTGTGCCTGATCCCCACCTTGTCCCCAGCCCAGAGCACTGAGTGTCACATCCAGTCCTTCCTTGGGCACCTCCAGGGCTGGGCACTCCAAACCTCCCTGGGCAGCCCCTTCCAGTGCCTGACCACCCTTTCCAGGGAGAAATTCCCCCTGATGTCCAACCTGACCCTCCCCTGGCACAGCTGGAGGCCGTGTCCTCTCACTCTGTCTCTCTCATCTAAGAGCTGCCAAGTGTGAGATAAAACAAAGCCGTGCTTGAAAGGAGTGACTTCATGTGCAGCTACAGTGACTTCTGTAAATTGAGAGGTTGGCTGAATTATTCTATTTTAATCTGGTTTTCTGAGCTCTTTAACTCACAGCTGAATGACTCCTTGCAGCTGAGCCCCATTAGGTGACATCTGGTACCCTGCACTTCCAGCCAGGGATGTCTGTGGAGTCTTCTCCTCCACACAGATGGTGGACATGGATCCACTGACCATCCAGCACAACTGGGAGGTGAAGTAAATGAAAGTTCATTGCAGTTCCCAGGCTCTGTGCTCCTAGTTTTTCTCTCCCTCAAGGCAAATCAATGCAAAATGTGACCCACTCATCTGATATCTCATATCCAGTAAGGCACAGCCACAAACACAACCCTAAAAATCTGAAGACACGCAGGTGGTGTTTTCTCAGATGGCTTTTTTTCTTAAAAAGAAAAATATTAAAAAATAGCAAAACAAGCACATTCACAAAAATAAAACCAAAAAACCACATTCCACACAAAACACTGAAGAAAACACAAAAAAAATATAGAATGAAGGTCACTGTAATTGTCTTGATAACAAAGGCTGTTCAATGACAATTGCACCTGTCCCTGTTGTCAAAACACAAACTGCATCCAGTAACACCACCAGACATATCAAAAACCACTTCAATAAAAACCTTCATACTCCTCTTTGCTTATACTTTTCAAATTTCCTTGTCCAATTATTTCCAGCCAGGGCTGCCATTCCAGTCCTGGGGATAAAGAGCTTCCAGTTCCATTATAGATAAACTCCCAGGTATTGATTGGAGCATCAGCCACACGGGTCAGAATCAGGACACACAGTTTTGAAACCTGTTCTGACGTGGCAAAAGTGAAGTGGCTTCCAGGGATGGGGCAGCCACAGCTTCTCTGGGCAACCTGTGCCAGTGCCAAGGGCCACCCTCACAGGGAAGAATTTCTTCCCAATATCCAGTCTCAATCTGCTCTCCTTCACCTTAAGACCATTCCCCCTTTTCCTGTCACTTCAGGCCCTTGTCCAAAGTCCCTCTCCAGCTCTCTTGGAGCCCCTTTAGGCACTGGAAGGGGCTCTAAGGTCTCTCAGAAGCTTCTCTTCTCCAGGTTGAACAACCCCAACTCCCTCAGCCTGCCTTCAGAGAGATCTTGAAATGAACAATTAAGCTTTTGAAGAAGCAGTTCTAAAATACTTTCCTCTATTCTCTGTTGGAAATTGAGAAGTTTTAACAGCATTGATTTCCTCAGCAACTGAGAAATTCTGTTCACAGTCTTGTTAGACAAGAAATGCATAGGCAAAATAACTTGTTTTGACAGAGAAAAGACTAGATTTTTTAAAAAAATTTTGAAATTGGTGAGGAGAAGCTCAGGTTAAATCTGTTGCAAGCAACTTTTTGTCTATTTACTCTCGATACCACTTAGAAAAAGCCCTGTTAATTATTTTAAAGAAATTTTTAATGAGGAAATACCTAAAATTCCATTTTAAATTTCATTCCTAATTAAAAATAGAGCTGCTAATTATAATGCCTATCTCCTTTAGAAGGTGCTGGGAGGCTTAATTAATTGTCGGTAAAGCTCATTTGAGGAGCTCACAGGATGGAAGTGGAAAATTGTTTATGTTAATCAGGAGGATGGCTATGAGAGCTCTGGAATGGGAGGAGAGAGCTCACCATGGGGATGGAATGGGCTGCTTGGCACTTCTGGGCACATCCCAGGAGATCCCACAGTCCTGTTGTCCCCATTTTGCAAATGAACATCAGAGCAGGGCAGCCAGGACAGCCTCTCCACTTGCCATTGCTTGGGCAGGCAGGCACTTAATCCCATCACAAACTAAGGAATTTACACCAAGATTACATAAAAATGTTGTGAAGAAACATCTGTGGCATAATTGCACTTTTCACAACAGAAATATTCCCAAAACTGCTGTTTCCTGGGTATCAGGAAGAAGTTCTTCCTTGTGAGGGTGGTGGCACAGGTTGCCCAGAGAAGCTGTGGCTGCCCCTGGGTCCCTGGAAGTGTCCAAGGCCAGGTTGGACAGGGCCTGGAGCAACCTGGGCTAGTGGAAGGTGTCCCTGCCCGTGGCAGGGGCTGGCACTGGATGATTTTTAAGATCACTCCCAACCCCAACTATCCTGTGATTCTATGATACAAACAACTTTTTCTCACTAACAGAAGGACATTCCCCTGCCTGAGCTCCGCATTTGATCCCTTCTGAAAAACTCCTAAGAGGGAAAATGGGAATTTAAGAAGTTTTGAAGTGCACTTGTTATCAAAATCTATGTCTGTGCCACTTTAAACAAACAAGTTGCCCTTTTTTTTTTTTTGTTTAAATATGTAAAATTTGCAGGGGCAGTTAAATGTTTCATGAGGTCAGGCAGTGCTGGGATGGGATCTGAGCGACAACTCATCCTATGAGCTCAATCTTACAGAGCTCAGCGAGACCCAGGACTAAACAAAAATCATTTCCATTCCTCATCTAAACCTAATGCCGAGTCCTGACCCAGTTTTTGGGGAGAGAGGCTTGTGATTACCTGACAGGAGCTCATATTTGTAGGAGAGGAACAGCAAGAGCACATTTAATCTTTCATGCTCCCGGTCCGACAGCTGCGCTTTCGCTCGCTCAGCTTTCTCCAAGGATGAGCAACGCAGAGCTAATTCTTACCCACCCCAAATTTCCAGACAGGAATATGCAAAAGCTGTAGGAGCTGTTTCTATCTGCCTGAAGCACTGATTGTGTGGGTCCTGGCTGGAGCACACCCCGGGAAAGCCGTGTGTCTCACGGTTAATTCCAGGGAAGAGCCACGCAATGCTCAGTGGATAAAAAGGCTCGTAGTCCCAGCTGGGAAAACAGTTCCATTATCTCCCAGCTGCACAGACCTTCCATACGGCTCCGTTCTGCCTGGATGAACGCTGTGCCTTGCTGAGAGCCTGGAACAGTCCTGCAGAAAATTGTAAAGATCCTGAGACATTTCCCTGCTCAGCTGTGTAAGTACAGAATCGTGCTGTCTGCTGCAGTGTGAGTGATGTTGGGGAGCTGCCTGTGCTGGGGTGGGTTTTTCTCTCCTTCCTCAGTGATTTTCATCAGCATAACGGGGAGAGGAGGAAGAAAATTCACTGCTTTATTTCTGCTGCGTGTCTGTAAACGGCTGGTGATCCAAATGTGTACGTTCCTGGGAGGAAAAAAACCCCCTATATAATGAATTTGTATTCATGTGAGGTCTGAGGCAAACAGAGAGACTGTGCAGGAACAGACACCACAGGTATTTTATTGGAGTCTCTCACAGCTCTGTGCTGCAGTAAAACGGACAACACAGAGGATGACAGTGCTAATTTTGGCACTTTCATATGACTTTCAGCAGCACATTAAAAGATGAAGTGGGTAATGAGAGCCTAACCTAATTCCTGCCAGCTGAAGGTGTAAAAGCAATAAACATCAATCTTCAGGAAAATTTAGGTAAGTCCTAAAAAGGAAAGTTTTCCCTGTTACTCATTTGAATCATTAAAGAAAAATACAAAGCAAGTTCACAGCTTATATTGCACTTTGGTTTTGCAGGAGTGTCAGTCTAGATGTTGTTATTTCTTTATACTGTATGACACAGCTTTAAAGGAAAAGTAATACTGTATAAAAAGTTTTGGAAGTCTGTGGTTCCAGAAGCAACTGCTTGACCAGGGCTTAATATTAACTAGTATATTCCCATAGTGCTTTTTGGGTGAATCCTTGGATTCAGACAGTTTGTTGCAGGTGTGAAAGGGCTCCTCCAGCAGCTTTTGCACAAGCAGCTCCATGTTAACAATTCCTGCAGCACTTATGGAGCCGAATGATTAAACAAGATGCAAACACCCTGCAGCCTGTGCCAATAACACTTAGTTGGCCTTCTGGCAGCTCTGCAACCGTTTGCAGAGAAATATCAGGAGTTAAAATTCAGTGTATTTACTCCTCTGAAGGAACATTTCCTTCTCCCCCTTTTTATTTTTTCCCCCCAAAGAGAGGAGACCTGTCACTGCCACACTCAGCTTTTATAAAGTTCTGAAAGTTCAGAGGATTTTTATGTGTGGGCAAGGAAAGCCTGCAGTGTTTGTGATTCCAGGCACCACCAGCCCACAAATAACCCATCTTCATCAGCCAGCTTTGGCTTTGGTGCTCCAGAGGCACTATGTCAGTGTTTCACATTCCAGGAGTCTCTGCTTCAGAGGTTTTATGACACTAAAAAGTCCCAAATCAGTACCTATATGAAGTTAGCAACAACCATAGATCACGTTTTATTGTGTAAAAAAGAAAAATAAAACACACCAACGTATGCAGCTGGAGATTTCAAATGCTGCTGAGCTACTGATGGCCATGGATTACAAGTTTTACCTTCCATGCTGAGGATAAAATGATAAATAATATATAACAACTTATGTGCTTTAAATCAAAGAGGAGACATGCCTCTTCTCCTTTTCTTCCAGCTTTATGATCACTATTTAAAAGGTTTGTGTTGTATAATAAGCTACTCTAAAATTAATTTCTTGCCATTGAAGCAAATATTTCCATCAGAGAACAAAGTGCCAGCGTCCCCAAGGGGATCTGAAACAAAACTGTGTGTTTGCATGGTGTGGGCACAAGGCATTATTTGTGTTTAGACAGAAAATGTTCATTAGAAGATGTTTGTCTTGTAGGTGGGAATGGATCAGCTCTTCAAAATAGCATCAAATTTGTGTTTTCCCCCCAGAACCATGCTGGCTGCATGTTACTACAAGGCAAAATTCCTTCTGTTTAAAATTGAGTTTATTCCAGAAGACTGCCACAGACTGGCCTCTATTATTCCCTGTCCAGGTGCTGCTCACCTTCCTAGAACTTGCTCAGGGAAACCAAGACACAAAAACCTCTTAATGCTGCTGTCCCTGTTTGGGTCAGACCCTCCTGACTTCCACACTCCCAGGGAGTGCTCTCACCCCGGGAAGTCTGGCTCAAAAACTCCTCTAGTCCTTCTTCCTAAGGGTTGCACTCAAAGCTGATCATAACACAGGCAAATTTGTAGCATAAATCTTCTGTGTGAGAGGCAAAATCTCTGGGAGAAGCGAAGGCACAAAGAACTTCAGGCACAGTTTTACAGCTACAGCTCCCCATGTGGTAAATACCACCTCTGGGACACTAAACTTTGCTTTGTAGCCACACACCAGTATTTAGTTGATTAGGTGACCTTATTTGCATCCACAAATATCAGATTTCACAAGTCTCTTATTTACACAAAGTCTTTCTACAAGTGCAGGATATACAAGATAAAAACACCATGAAAAAAACCAGAACAAAGTATCTTCAAGTACCTTAAACATAATAAATAAGAACAACCCCAAGCAAAATAGATCAGGACACTGTACTTAACAGCTCTCCATCCTTTTCCCATAAAAAAACCCCACAAAAGTAGCATGAGACAAAGCATCAGAGGTGTGGAAGATCCCACCATAACTCTGGGAGGCTTCTAAACAGACCAGGGCAGCACAAAGTGCCAACAAGATGCTCTTGCACAAAACAAGACATGGGGACTTGCAAACATCAGTACCAAAGGCTCCAAGAGCTCCAGAGAGAAGCAGAAAAGAGAAGTCTGAATTTTTCCATACCTTTCTGCTCCCAGCTCTGTCTCCTCTCCCCCAAGAAGGTCCTGCTGAGCTCCCAACCCAACCTCAGCTCTGCCTAATAAATGAGGTGCAGCTGAGCAGCACTTCCTGCTGCTTTTATTCTGGAGGGTAAAAGGTGTTTCCACCCACCTGTTCTGGGACTGCAAAGATAATTAATTGTTCCATCTTATCACAGCCTTCCAGTCCCTAAAAGGGGCTCCAGGAGAGCCAGAGAGGGGCTTTGGATGAAGGCATGAAAGGACAGGACAAGGGGAAATGGCTTCAAACTGCCAGAGGACAGGATTAGATGGGATATTGGGAAAGAATTCTTCCCTGAGAGGGTGGGGAGGCCCTGGCACAGGTTGCCCAGAGAAGCTGTGGCTGCTCCATCCCTGGAAGTGTCCAAGGCCAGGTTGGAGCAACCTGGGCTAGTGGAAGGTGTCCCTGCCCATGGCAGGCAGTGGAATGAGATGATCTTTAAGGTCCTTCCCACCCAAATCATTTTATCACTCTATGATCTCATGTTTTCATTCATCTTGGGGGTCTTTGTGTTCTGGGTTTCCTGCAAGAGGAAAAACTCCACAGCCTGCAGTGCTCAGGAGAATGACTGAGAGAGAGGGATGGGGAGGAGGGAGTTGGAGAGAAGAGGAATTTCCCTCCCTTACACCCTCTAATATATTTTTAGCCTATAAAGACAGGAAGAAATGGATGGAGTCAGTCAGAAAGGCAGTTTGTTTTATTAAAATTCTTGACAGCATCTGCTGCAAGGCTCTTGTTAAAAGAAATGGAAAACATCAGAAAGATGAGAGAAAGAGTGTTATGTCCTTGCTCTTTACACAACATAATAATATGGGAATGAGTATAATTGGCTTCCAGATGACTGTTTTTATTAGCCATGTACAAACACAAGTGACCCACTGCCCAGGTACACAATAACCCTCCCTGGGCTCTCATCACACTCCCACCAGAGACTTCTCAAACAAATAAAAACACATTGCCTAATTTTTATGAACTAAATGCTCTTTTTTTTTTGGGACGTCAATAAGATCTATTTTATATGAAAGACTCCTCATAAAAAAATATGAAACCTGTTTCATATTTGAGAATGAATTAAGCTCTCCCATGGCTGTAACCAGAGCATGAGGATCCCAAGTCCCTGTCTTTGGTGATGTCTGCAGGGAATCTCTTATTACAAACTTATTAAAAATCTTTTATTGAACTTATCTCTTATTAAGTGGGGGAAGGTTGGATGGAAATTGAGGAATCTCTGCTATAAAAATGCTGTAATTTCCTCCATTCCCATTCCAGCGTGGAAGGGACTGAAGTCTCCTGTCTCAGAGGAGCTGGTGGTGAAGCAGTCAGGGCTCTCATCTCATGTCTGTAAACATCTGATGTGCAAAAAGAAAAAAGATCAGTGGTTCATTTGCAAGTCTGGCTTGGGTAGATCAAACCCTTTCTCGTGAGGGTTTTTCCAGAGTCCAAATGATCCAAGCCTGGGGTAGGGCTGCCCAGGGAGCCAGCAGTCTGGGGTTAGGACACTCCAGGGATACAGGAGATTGCCATTTAGGTGGAGCAGATATTGCTATTCAGCTAGAGCAGAAATTTCATCACTGCTTGGAACCCTGTGCCTAAACTCCTGGCTATTCTGGACCCCTGATCCAGCAGTTTTCCCACATAATGAAGAATTCTTCCCACAGAAAATGTTCTCAGAGCTGCTGAGAACCTTCTGACGAGGCTGGGCTTGGATGACAGAACATCTTGTTGGGTGCTGAGCACGAGAACTGGTGCTGTCACCCCCCAGTAGGGTCAATGTGTGTTCAGCTCCTCCAACTCCACTGCTCATGGACTTGGGCAGAGGAAAATATTGGAAGATTTTAAAAGATTAATGAGGAAAATGCTCTCTATTGTGGGCAAAGGACATGCTGGGCTGGGTTGTCAGCAAGTATGAGAAGACTACCTTCGATCAGCATCTTGTTTTTTTCTTCCCATCCCTGTGATTAACGTTGGGAATAAAGAAGCTGTTCAAGTTACCTACAGTTAAATAAAGGACTTTTCAGCTGTTTACTGATTATTTCCTTCTGTGCATTTTATGCTTCATCCTGTCCCACTGCCTTGTCTGTTATGAGGTCAGTCCACTAAAAATAGGTCTGTCTGGGGCACAAAATATTTGTCACTGTTTCTGAAACCCTAGTGCATCATGTACTTCACCACTACATATCCATCTCTCCCAAACATTCCCTCTCAAGCAGAGCATACAGTGAGTTTGGTGTATACAAGTGGTACCTTTGGTGAGAGAAACAGGGATTAAAAGCGCTGAAGTTTCTGCAACTTCATCTCTTCAAGTACTTGCTGATAATCCTACCATGAAATTACAAAACCAGCGGGAC